CTGGACGCCCTCCGCCGTCCGGAGGACAAGTCGCCGCCGGAAATCGGACCCGTCGTGGTCCGAGAGAACTCCGGCGGCAAAAGGCGATACGCCAGGATGGATGTGCCGGCAAGGCTGGCCCCTCGCCTCGCAGGTCTCGCCCGTATCCGTGTGGGATAGGTCACCTGTAGGCTGAGGATCCTTGGCGACAAGGGTCCAAGGTGTTACAGGTGCCTTGAGCACGGACACATGGCTCAGACCTGCAAGGGACCGGACAGGTCCAAGGGGTGCTTCTCCTGTAACAAGGAGGGGCACCAGGCCAAGGACTGTCCGGGTGCGGGGCCGTCCTCAAAGGCCACGAAGACAAAGGGGGGCCTGGAAAGAAGGCTCTGAAGATGAAAGGGGGAAACCACTGTCGGGCCGCACAGGATCTGGTCCGGCGGGCAGCGTACGAGATGGGCACCGACGTGTGCATCGTCTCGGACCCGCATACCGGATCGGTCCGGGACTCTGCCGGCTGGTTATTGGACCGGTCCGGCAGAGCGGCGATCGGCGTGATGGACCGCGGCCTGACGGTCGCGGACATCGAGTCGGGCGACGGTTACGTAGTGGCGAGGATAGACGGCATGGACGTCTTGAGCTGCTACGCGCCGCCCAGCTTGCCGATCGCCGGACTCCTCGAGTCCGTGTCCTCCTGCCTACGGGCGAGGAGGCTCGGGCGGCCGCGCGACGGCCGCGGGGAGCTCGTGGCCGGGGATTTCAACGCTCACTCCCCGGTCTGGGGGTCGGCGGACACGAATCAGCGTGGCGAAGAANTAGTACCATAGTAAATTTAATACCTTATTAATTTAATATGAAAGATATAAAATTATAAAGGCACCGTAGAGTAATATAAAGTCGACATAATGTCTTATGACTGTTGTACAAACTTTTGAAGAAAAACTAATCGTCAAAGTTCGGCTAAAGTCCCATTGATTTTAGCGTTCTACTTTAGATCGCAATGCAAAAAATTATGTTGACTGAATATATTATAAAAAATAATAGCGATTTAATATTCAGTTGACAATGTAAAATGCAAATTTAAAATAGATACAACTTGATAAGCTGCTGAAAATGGAAACTTAGAATTTATAATATATGCTTATGAAAATGAATGAACGAAAATTAAATATTATTCAATATCTAGGTGAAAACTGTCGAAATTGGAAACTTGGAATCACATAGTTGACTATTGTTATTTAGATTAATAATTTATTATGTTATACATTAATTTATTAGTTTAATCAATTAACATTTATTGATGAAAAACATGAAAATCAAAGATAAATAGAATAATAACAAAATTATATCCTGATGAAATTTGATTAATTTTTATATATGAAAAAAAAGGGAAATCCAAATTTCCCTTGTTGGTTGTTTGCTTATATATTTTTGGCAAGACAAAAAGTCAAAACAAAACACTTAATAATATATTATTTGAAGGATAAAAACTTTATTCTTATATAATTTTATTACTATCGTATCAAAATAATACAGAGAGTTTTCTATGTAGCAACTTATTATATAATAAAACATTAAAAACTAGCCAATGTAATCAAAATTACTTAACAATATCCGATTTTCAAATTTCCTTTTTTTAATGAAAGTTTGGTGATGGTATTCTGGAAAAATTATTCTTACAGTTGAGAAAATTTTATCAAACAAATTTTATGTTAAAATTACAGATGATACAACATATTATTTTTGGTAATACATCCAAAAATATTATTTCTTAAGAAAGTAAACTGTCAAAAATGCTTTTATGAAAATCATTACCCTCTCAGATATAAATAAAAATTCAAGTTAATTTATTTGAAAAATAATGTAATAATAGCCAACATAAATAAATAAAAATTATATTTCAACAGAAAATTAATTAAGGCAGCCATTTTCAGTGACATAATCAATTATATTTTGATAATCATTTTGAGTAGCTTCATAAATGGTACCTCTACTCCACGGACAATAATTTTCATGGGCAAATTTTATGCAATCAAATTGGCCATTTGCAGCAGCAAGTCTTGTTGTCCCTTCGTCCCACACACACCCATTTAAATGACTATATTTTAGACAGTCTAAATGACCATTTGCAGCAGCTCCACTAATTGTCCCTTCGTCCCAATTACATCCATTTCTATGTGCATATACCAAAATGTCAATATAACCACTAGCAGCAGCTTCCCTTGTTGTGCCTTCGTCCCAGTCACAACCATTTTCATGGGCATATTTAATGCAGTCTAAATGTCCATTCGATGCAACCACTCTCATTGTACCTTTTACCCAAATACATCCACGTTTACGGGCATATTTTAAACAATCCAAATTACCAAACATAGCTGCTGCTGCTGTGATATCTTTATCCCAGTTACATCCATTTTCATGAGCATAAATCAAGCAGTCTAAATAGCCTCCTGATGCAGCTACTCTAGTTGTGGCTTTATCCCACGGACACCCATTTGCATGNATTATCCCACGGACACCCGTTTGCATGTGCATATTTTAAGCATTCCAAATTACCATATTTTGCAGCTGCTTCCGTTGTTCTTTCATCCCACGGACATCCATTTTCATAGGCATATTTTAAACATTCTAATTTACCATTAGAAGCAGCTGCTTCCGTTGTTCTTTCATCCCACGGACATCCATTTTCATGAGCATATTTTAGACATACTAATTCACCATAAAGAGCAGCTACATATGTTGTGCGTTCATCCCACGGACAACCATTTACATATGCATATTTTAAACATTCTAATTTACCATTAGAAGCAGCTGCTTCCGTTGTTTTTTCATCCCACGGACATCCATTTTCATGAGCATATTTTAAACATACTAATTCACCATAAAGAGCAGCTACTTGTGTTGTACGTTCATCCCATTCACATTTATTTTCATGTGCATATTTTAAACATTCTAAATATCCATTAGCAGCAGCTATTTCTGTTGTACTTTCATCCCACGAACAACTATTTACATATGCATATTTTAAACATTCTAATTCACCATTAGAAGCAGTTGCTTCCGTCGTTCTTTCATCCCACGGACATCCATTTTCATGGGCATATTTTAAACATTCTAATTTACCATTAGAAGCAGCTGTTTTTGTTGTGTTATTATCCCACGGACATCCATTTTCATAGGCATATTTTAAGCATTCCAAATTACCATTAGAAGCAGCTGCATCCGTTGTTCTTTCATCCCACGGACATCCATTTTCATGGGCATATTTTAAACAATCTAATTTACCAATAGAAGCAGCTGCTTCCGTTGTTCTTTCATCCCACGGACATCCATTTTCATGAGCATATTTTAAACATTATAATTCACCATAAATAGCAGCTATATGTGATGTGCGTTCATCCCATGCACATTTATTTTCATGGGCATATTTTAAACATTCTAAATGTCCATTAGAAGCAGCTGCTTCTGTTGTGCTTTTATCCCACGGACATCCATTTTCATAGGCATATTTTAAACATTCCAAATTACCATTAGAAGCTGCTGCTTCCGTTGTTCTTTCATCCCACGGACATCTGTTTTTATGTAAATATTTTAAAATTTCTAATCTACCATTTATAGCAGCTCCTTCCGTCGTGCTTTCACCCCAAGGACATCCATTTTCTTGGGCATATTTTAAACATTGTAGTTTACCATTTGAAGCAGCTTCTTCAGTTGTTCTTTTATTCCATGGGCATTTATTTTCATGAGCATACATTAAACATTCTAAATGTCCATTAGCAGCTGCTTTTTCTGTTGTACTTTCATCCCACGGACATCCATTTTCATGGGCATATTTTAAACATTCTAATTTACCAATAGTAGCAGCTGCTTCCGTTGTTCTTTCATCCCACGGACATCCATTTTCATGAGCATATTTTAGACATACTAATTCACCATAAAGAGCAGCTACATATGTTGTGCGTTCATCCCACGAACAACCATTTACATATGCATATTTTAAACATTCTAATTTACCATTAGAAGCAGCTGCTGCCGTTGTTTTTTCATCCCACGGACATCCATTTTCATGAGCATATTTTAAGCATACTAATTCACCATAAAGAGCAGCTACATATGTTGTGCGTTCATCCCACGAACAACCATTTACATATGCATATTTTAAACATTCTAAATATCCATTAGCAGCAGCTATTTCTGTTGTACTTTCACCCCACGGACATCCATTTTCATGGGCATATTTTAAACATTCTAATTTACCATTAGAAGCAGCTGCTTCCGTTGTTTTTTCATCCCACGGACATCCATTTTCATGGGCATATTTTAAACAATCTAATTTACCAATAGAAGCTGCTGCTTCCGTTGTTCTTTCATCCCACGGACATCTATTTTTATGTAAATATTCTAAAATTTTCAAACTACCATTTATAGCAGCTCCTTGTGTTGTTGTTTCATCCCACGGACATCCATTTTCATGAGCATATTTTAGACATAATAATTCACCATAAATAGCAGCTATATGTGATGTGCGTTCATCCCATGCACATTTATTTTCATGGGCATATTTTAAACATTCTAAATGTCCATTAGAAGCAGCTGCTTCTGTTGTGCTTTTATCCCACGGACATCCATTTTCATAGGCATATTTTAAACATTCTAATTTACCATTAGAAGCTGCTGCTTCCGTTGTTCTTTCATCCCACGGACATCTGTTTTTATGTAAATATTTTAAAATTTCTAATCTACCATTTATAGCAGCTCCTTCCGTCGTGCTTTCACCCCAAGGACATCCATTTTCTTGGGCATATTTTAAACATTGTAGTTTACCATTTGAAGCAGCTTCTTCAGTTGTTCTTTTATTCCATGGGCATTTATTTTCATGAGCATACATTAAACATTCTAAATGTCCATTAGCAGCTGCTTTTTCTGTTGTACTTTCATCCCACGGACATCCATTTTCATGGGCATATTTTAAACATTCTAAACTACNTTATCTTTAATAATAATATAATTGGTACTATCTTAAAGTAATTCAGTAAACCAAAATTGATATATTGATACGACAAAATGTAATAATACAATCAATTTTGTTAAATTTGTAATTAATCATTAATTAACTGTCCATAAAATAATAAATCTAATATAATTATCGTACTTGGCAAAAAAATTAAACTTCTAGAATCTTTTTTTAAACGAATTTGCGTTTTCCAAAAAATTAAATGAAAATAAATAATTAAAAATCAACAAAATCAGTTATAACGTATTTTAAGACTTTTACATGTTTTTTTACTGTATGTAGTGTTTTTGTGGGTTATTTATTGAGAAAACAACATTGAAGTTATTATTTTTGAATTTCTTGTAAAATTTCCTTTACTTGAGTTTTACTTTTATTATTCTAAGTTAAGAGAAAAAAAAGTTATGAGACATAGATCAGTTATTTCTATTAAATTTGACTCTTCGACTCAACTTAATAGGCCCGAGGGCACGGGTTAACCTTAACGGATCGGTCCCAAATTTTGCATAGCTCATTTTTCTGACCATTAAAAAAAAAAAATGACATTCGATTTTTGAGGGCCACCCTACTGTTGACACAACCCTACTTTCAAATATTGACCCTATGATGGTTAATCTAATCTTAGAAATTATTCAGATAATTTAAAATAAACGCAGACAAATCTACTAACACAATATTTTCATTACGCGGAGAAATATGTTAGTAATTACACTGAAAGGATCACTAATAACTCACTTATATCAAGTTAAATACTTAAGTCTCATATTTGTCAGACGTCTCATTTAAGACACTAAATAAACAAGGAAAAAACATAATTCACGTCATCATCTTAGATTTCTACCAAAGTCAAATTTTTTCTAATAATTAAAATAATCCTATTCAAACTGAATTTTTTTTGAAATTTTAAACTGAACATACAGAATTGTAATCTTGGAATCTACTAAAACTTATGTAAATAGGAGTCCTATTGTAGTTCTTCCACTCAATGTAACCATGTAATCAATTTCTTTTTAAAATATTTTTAAACAATAATTATTGTGCATAAAAGATTATAAATATTCGTATATAATAATTTTTTTGGAAAAAAGTTAGAATTAATGGTACAAATCATTATTAAATAATTTTTATTGCTATTATTTCACATTCAATTGACGTCACCTTACTTTAAATACATCATTAGGCTCAAATAATAAAAACTAATATCAGTTTGTCATTTTTTTAAAGGACTTTAAAATTATTGGTGCATTGTCTTTTGTTTATATTTACT